AAATCTGATGGTTAACCCATCCAGTCGACCCCCTTAATCTATATTAGATTCTAATAATGTTTACAAAGACAGAAATGCCCTTACTTAAGTGTGGGGCAGAGTAACTMTAATARCACWRYCACATAAGCAAGTTACTTAATAAACAGAAGAAGACTAAACTACCCCTATTCGGCACATCTTAACAGTATCCAACGGAACACCTTTAAGGATTTGCAGAAGGTTAATGACATTAATTGACCCCAAGTTCCTAAGCCCTCTTCTGAAGCCGAAGTCCCAACTTGTCCTAGCTGAGGAAGTTTTGAAGTTTTGATCAACTTGTCCCAACTTGATAAAAAAAAAAAGTTGTCTGTCAGAGGAGAGTCCTCCACCCAAATATCTAATAGAGTTCAGGTAGGAAGTATATTGTGAATTACTTTCTCAGGGTAAGTCAAAGTTGCCTTGGCTGAGAGGCCAACTTCCCAACCATTTTCCATCAACCCGTCGATGCTTATTATAACTTTATGCCACAACCTGTCAGGTTCTGATGGAAGTCTCCAAAGCCATTTTCCAAGGACAGATTCCTTGATGCTATCAGCTGTCTTTCCTATCCCCACACCTCCTTGGTCCTTTCTTCCACAGACCATCTTCCACTTCACCAAATTGTCTTTTCTGGACTGTTTCTTGTATTATTAACGTTTTGCCATAGCTAAAGTTTCTTGTGTTTTCTGAAGTGTTTGCTTTGACTTAGATAATTCATGAGTTTAATACAGTTTCATTTATTATTGTTATATTGTTGTTATTTTGAATTCTGTATCCTCTTCCCAGGATCATGAAAGTGTGGTAAAAGCTATCTACACTGGAACAGAGTTTGTAGAAAGTTTTACTGCAGGTGATGAAGCTGGTATTGTTCTAGAAACCACAAGTTTCTATGCTGAACAAGGTGGACAGGTACTGTATATCCTACCAGATGGCCTATCTTTTCTTTCTTCTTTTTTTTTTTATTTTAATATCTTCTCTTAATCTCTACTATAAGAATTATATAATGGTAGAATACAGATGAGGGGTTGGACAACACTGAAATACAAACTATCCACATTCAAAATTTATATATGCACATTGTTGTGACCAAGGTGGACCCTTCATTGAAGGCATTAAGCAAGTCTATAAGCCTACCAAGGAACAACAAGAAAAGAACATGGATACCTCCTCTCTCAACCAAAAGAATGTAAAGATAAAGGAAGCAAGAAGACATACTCGCATTCTGTTTTGATGATGATGGTGATGGGTAAAGAATGATACAAAGGAATAACTTGTGGACTTGACTGGTGTTCTTCAAGTGTCCTTTTGTTGTACTTTTGTCCATAATTGTTAAGAGTGATAGGTTTTTTGTGCAGACAACTTTATCACTACGTGAAAATTACATGGTACTCTTGAAGATATTTGGTTTTATACTCTTATTCCGCACCTTTCTTTGGGATCCTTTCCATCCTTTCTTTTGAAGGATTTGCAATTTTTCTTTTTTTTTCCTTACTTTTGCAAGTGCTGAGACACAAGTCTGTGGAGGTTTCCCCCCCTTTAGAACCATTTTGGGATCTTGTAAAAAGTTGCCAATAATTTTGAAATGACAAGTTTTCAGGATTTCCTGGTAAAGAATGAGATGGCAGTGATCAACAGTAGGTCATGGGCATCTTTTCTATATTCCTGTGTCCTTGTACCTTCTTTTAATCCTGATATTGCATCTATTTTGCCTCAATATATAAGCCGTGAAAATATTCTGTTGTCTTACTTGGGTTCGTTTGTTTTTAGATATTTGATACTGGATCACTTGAAGGCTCCATTGGATCATTTCAAGTTCTTAATGTTCAAACCTTTGGAGGTTTAATCCTCCACATTGGTTCTATTGCTGGAGGAACTGGCAGGTTTTCTGTGGGTGATGAAGTAATTTGCAAGGTGAAACACTCAGTTCACTGTCTTCTATTCTTATTCAGTGTTTCTTTCCTTTGATTGTTCTAGTTATTTGTCACCATATGCAATGCTTGATGTCATGAACAGGTTGACTATGACAGACGCACACTCATTGCTCCTAATCATACCTGTACTCACATGTTGAACTTTGCCCTCAGAGTATGCCACAACCACTACTTGCCTCCAAAAGTTTTGCTTATCGTCTGGTTATGTATGATTCTCCACATTTTCCTTACTATGCATGCTGCAGGAAGTGCTTGGCGATCATGTTGACCAAAAGGGATCTATTGTTCTTCCTGAAAAACTAAGATTCGATTTTTCCCATGGTAGTATTTTATTCTTTCAAGTTGGTGCATTTAAATGCATGCACATTCTTTCTGTGACTCATCGAGATTTATAACAGGCAAACCTATTCATCCTGATGATTTGAGAAAGATTGAGTCAATTGTTAACCAACAAATAAAAGATGAGTTGGATGTTTTTTCCAAGGAGGCAACCCTTGCTGATGCTAAACGCATAGCTGGTTTACGAGCTGTATTTGGAGAAGTTAGTTTATTCTTTTCTCTCATCATTGTTGGTGTTGAATTTGGCAACAAACTAGTTTCTAAGCATATTTGATCTACTTGTACATCAATTTACTAAAATATTGTGATGATGATAAGGTCTATCCTGACCCAGTTAGAGTTGTGGCAATTGGTAGAAAAGTGGAGGATCTTCTGGCTGATCCAGATAATAAAGAATGGTTGTCAATCTCAACGGAGCTTTGTGGAGGTCAGCTTGTCAGTGTTGAAAGTGATAATCTTAATTTTATCATGGCACTGTTTGATGCTTCAGTACCATAAAAGCAATTGTTTTCACAAGTCGAGAAAAGTAGACTGATAAACTCTTATTCTATAAGGGAAACAAAACAAAAGGAATTCAGGATTTTATAGTCACAGGATGAGCCCTTGAATTGTATGAATTGTAGTTTTTCCATACATGCATACTACATTTATGTATTGTAGAGAACACTAATGTGGATCCCACTAAGGTGGTTCCCACTGTTCGTATGTCAGCAATAAGTTATGATTATGATTAGTTCTTTATGATAAGATTAGAAATAGTCTTTTATAAGATTAGGACTAGTCTTTTATAAGATTAGGATTAGTCTTTTTTCAGCTTTATCTTATCTTATCTTATCTTGCCATGTAAGCAATTCAGTCTTTTTACAAGTATGATACTATGTATATAAATTTAAGAGGGGGGCGGCTGTTTCAAACATCAACCCAACTCTCTTTTATCAAAATCTCTCTCGAGCTCTCTCTCTCTTTCTCTCTTTTCTCCCTCTTATTTTCTTTTTTTTTCTTCTCCTTTTAAGTGTCTGTTCAATCTTGAGCGACTACTTGTATTATTTTCAATATAAAAACATTATAATAGCATCTTCTTCTAGAATGTGCACAGTACATTTGATTGTATCGTATAAGCTATCTTACATAAGAGTATTATCATATTTAGATCATTATAATAAGAGATATGCTTATAGTCATCAAGATTGAGAATATAATGCATATTTTTTTATGTTTTTTTATCAGTAAGAAGAAGTAACTTTATTAAAATCCAGAAAGTTTAAATACAACAGTACTCTCCAGAAATCTATAGAATTAGAGACAGAATGTCAGGTATAGCCCAGTATTTTCAACCTGTTGTTGACCCAACCAGTTCAGACCAGTGATCCAGTCACAATTCCAGTTTGGGTCAACCTCTAGCCTGCTGCTGCTATATTACAAAAGATCATTGGCTTGGTCAACAACCCGTTGACCCGGATGGTTGAACAGTTGACCCATCTGACCCATTCAACAGGTTTATCAGCTTTTTATCATTCTAAATTTTTTAATTTTTATAATGATGGCGTCACAGGTTGACCTGTTGGCCCAAATGGTTGAATTGTTGACCCATTGGCCCTGAGGAAAAAGAAGTTCAACCTCTGGGCCAGGTTTTAAAATACCAGTGTAGCCATTGACTGAAATAACTGGAACCCACCTGAATTTCCAAGGCACCCCTGTTAACACCCATCCTTGCTAAACTGTCAGCCAAGTCATTTGCTGATCTTGGAACCCACCTGAATGAGAAATTTAGATAGCATATTAAAGCAACCAAAACAAAATGCATATTCTTATGTTATGTATACTTGTTTTCCTTGTATGAATATATTCTTATATGATTCAAACAGACTTTTGGCCCTATGGATCCAAACTCATCTTTATCTATCTATCTATCTATTTATCAATATATATATATATATTGAAACCTGATAAATTTATTTTGAAACCTGATTATTGGATGTACCTAGGGACCCATATATCAAATACACGGGAGGCTAAAGCATTTGCTCTTTTATCCGAGGAAGGAATTGCTAAGGGTGTCCGAAGAATAACTGCTGTTACAACTGACTGTGCTTTTAAGGCAATGGAATTGGCAAGGTCACTAGATCAAGAGATCAGTGGTGCTGCTAAGATAGAAGTAAGCCAGCTGGAGAAGGTAAGCACTCAAATTCCTTTTAGTTCTAGAATAATATAGTTAGACATCATCATTGAATTTTCACATTTTATGTTATATTTCCTCAATCTGCATTCTTTGTTCTACAATCTACAACATCCAGTCATCTTGAATTTCAGTAAAGGTCTTCATTGTCTTACACAGCTTAGTTAAAGCATTACCTAGGCATCAACTAGGTGATCGCCTAGGCATTCTGGAGGCCAATCGCCTAGGTGACCAACTAGGTATGTAGTATAGATATAGATATCTTAGTGGGAGAAAATAACTAACTCTGCCCCTTTTAAATATCAATTTAAGTGTTTTTTAATCAATAGGAATGCGTACAAAGATAAAAAGTAGGACTTTTGATCCCTCTGTAGGTATTTATTTCTCCTTTAAACTGGGGAGTTTATTTACCTTAAGGATCAGTTGTAAAATTCCATTGAAACGTATACTGATTTAATTTGTGTTTTGTGGTGTTATAGCTTATAAATTGCCAAAGATTAGGACATTATCCAGTCCACACCTCCCAATACCCCAGATAGCTGGAACCAACATTGGATAATGGCTTTTTCGTTTTTGTACCTAGTGTAATGTTTTGTTGTTACCAAGGCATTGACTCACCTCACCAGCCCAAAACAGCTAGGCATTGCCTAGCTGCCTTAACTATACTGATATTACAAATAGTTGGCATAACCCAACAGTAGGGTAACCTTATAAGTTTTTCTGTGAGAAGCTTGTGGGATCTATATTTTTTTTTTGGAAAAGGTAAGGTAAATTTATTAGAAAAACTTAGAGATACAAACAGAAACCTGCCAAAGACAAGGCAAGAACGGGGACATCCCCCATTACAAACACCAAATAGACTGAGATCTCAACAACTGGAATACATTTAAATGTTTGAACTCTGGATGACAGAAATCCAGGACATCAATTTGCTGACTGCTGCCTGCCCTATCTCCTCTGGACTTTTCACTTTTTGGTTAAATATTTTGTTGTTTCTCTCAAACCAAATGGCCCAGAGCGCTGCTGCCAGGATAGTACTCCAGATTAGCTTCCCTTTTTTTACTTATCTTCCAACTGCAAAGCACATCCTTTACAGATTTTGGCATGACCCAACAAATCCCCACAGCCTGTAAGAAATGATCCCACACCTGGGCGGCAATTGGGCAGTGAATACAAAGATGATCAGTAGTCTCTGGGTGTGTGATTCACAAAGAACACAATAGTCATCAGGGATCTGCAAGCCTCTTCTTTCTAGGTTAGTTCTGGACAGGCATTTATTTAAAGTCATAGTCCAGACAAGGAAGTTCACTTTTGAGGGACTAATTGAATTCCAAATCTGCTTAGATGGAAAATCCCCCACTGCAGCTCTACTACCAAATCTACTGGCCATTGATTTTATTGAGAAGCTACCCTCTTTAGACCAATTCCAAGTCCAATTCCAAGTCCACTAGTCATCCTGATTACAGCCAATCCTTTGAGCTTGTAATGTTTCCAACAATCTCATAACTCCTTTCACTTCCCAATCAAAAAGGCTTCTTCTGAACTGTGGAACCGAGGTCAGCAGTCGAAGTATTCTGATTGGTGGCACACTGATAAAGAAGAGGGAAATCTTCAGACAAAGGGTGGTCCAAGCACCAAGGATCCTTCCAGAATCTGATTTTGTCTCCTCTGCCTACTTTAAAGCTTAAACACTCTCTAAACAAGGGAAAATATCTCATTATGCCTTTCCGTAAAGAGCAGCCCCAATTAGGAAGTGGATCTCTCAATCTCCAGTTTCCCCACTCTACCCCAAACTTGGCAGCTATCAGGCTTCTCCACCAAGCTCCCCTTTCTGATGCAAATCTCCCGATCCATTTACTAAGAAGAGCCAAATTAGTCACCTTGATTTTCCTTAAACCCAGCCCCCCTTCTTCCATAGGAAGACATTTGATCCCAGTTGACAAGATGAATCTTCTTTTCTTCCTCCCAACCCCTCCACAAGAAATTCCTTTGGAGAGTCTCCAGTCTCTTTGCCACTTTTTTCTCGGACAGGGAAAAGGGAAAGAAAATAAGCAGATTTGAAAGGGTTACTCTTCCTCCAAAAGACAAATATTTTGCCTTCCAAGAGGAGAGCTTTTTTCCGATCTTTCAATTACCAGGTTCCAAATGGCTGAAGAAGAACATTTAGCTCCCAAGGGCAGTCCCAAATATTTAACAAGAAGCTGTTCCACCCATCAAGCCATTACTTTGGCACATTCCTCCAAATTAGGAACCTGACCCACTGGGATAATTTGGCTTTTATTAAGGTTAACTTTCCGACCTGTTACTACAAACCAGTTGAGAATCCCTAATAAGTTTTCCAACTGCTCCTGAGATGCATCTATGAAACATAAGGTGTCATCAGCAAATTGGAGGATGTTGACTTTTTCCTCCCCTGGGGAAATTGCAAACCCTTCCCACAAACCAGATTCAGCTGCCTTCTGACTGAAGAGAGATAGGACTTCAGCAATACAAATAAAGAGCAGAGGAAAGAGGGGATCTCCTTGCCTAAGCCCTCTGGAGCTCTAAAGGAAACCTGCTGCTTGTCCATTTATCAGGATGGAAAATTTTGGGGAAGACACATTGACTTTCATCCAATTCCTCCATTTTGCCCAAAATTCATTTTTTTTCCAAGACACAATCTAAGCATCTCCAATTTGCATGGTCATAAGCTATTTCTATGCCCAGTTTGCACACAAAACCAGGAATCCCCTCTCTCTTCCTAGAGTCATCAATTCATTTGCAATTAGAATCGAATCAATGAGCTTTCTACCCGGCAGAAAAGCACTTTGAGTACTTGAGATCACACTATTTAACACCTCCTTCACCCTTTCAGCTAAAACTTTAGCCAGAATCTTGTAGAAACTATTCAGAAGACTTATTGGCCTAAAGTCTTTTAAGTGCACAGCCCCTTCAACTTTGGGAATACGAGTCACAAAAGTGTTGTTCAAGCTTCTTTGCAGTGAAGCACTTGAGTGGAAGGCCTGAAAAGCATCTAGAATATCTTGCTTCACAAAATCCCAACTCTTGACATAAAACATGTTGGGAAAACCATCCGGCCCAGGAGATTTCTCATTATCCAAATTGCTAATTGGTAAAAGGTCTTTCAAGGGAGCTTCTTTGATTTTCACTCAGCCTCTTAAAGGGGAGATTTAAAGGGAGAGTTCTGCACTTCCAATTCTCCTTATAGAGGTTTTTATAAAAAGATGTTGCAATTACTTTGATTTCTGCAGTAGATTCTCCCACCTTATCATCCCAAATAAGTTTGCTAATTGAAGTTCTGATTCTAGCGTTTTCCACCTTATGGAAATAATGAGTGTTCCTGTCCCCTGCTTTAAGCCAGACTGTCTTAGCTCTCTGTCTCCACTTTAATTCCTCCTTGACTGCGAATTTATCATAAACAGACTTTGCCTGAAGTCTCTTCAATCTTAACTCCTCTGAAACTGGGCCCAATTCCTTTGTTCTGTCAATTTCTTCAATTAGGCTAAGGCAAGCTCTTTTTTCTATTTCTGAGTTCAGATTGATTTCCAGCTTCCATATTTTCACTCTTTCCTTGACTGCACCCAACTTTTTTGCTAAAACAAAAGAGCTAGAACCTTCCACCTGCGCTTCACACCAAGCTGATCTTAATAAACGGAGAAAATCGGCATCTTCAAACCAAGCATTCTCGAATTAAAAATGTGCTTTAATTCTATCCCTATTACCACAAATTAAATGGATTGGCACATGGTCTGAAACTGGCCTAGGGAGAATCACTTGTTTAAAATCAGGAAAGAGCTCAACCCAATTTACTAATACCAGAAATCTATCTAATTTGACTAGAGTTGGGTTTTCCTAGTTATTTGTCCAAGTGAAATTTCCTCCTACTAACGGCAGGTCAAGCAGCTTAAAGCTGTTTACAAAACCATCAAATAAACTCATTCTTCTTGACCTCCTACATCTAACATTTTTTTCTTCAACCAACAGGGTTAAATTGAAATTCCCTCCATTTACCCAAGGGAAAGTTAAGGAGCCTCTCACCTCTGCTAATTCTTCTAAAAACAGGTTTCTTCAACCGACAGGGTTAAATTGAAATCCCCTCCAATTACCCAAGGGCTTGTCCCCCACTCCATTCCCCCTTTATATTTCTTCAATACACTCCTTAATTAGATTTTTTAATTGGTCCACTGTCATAAACCCCCTTTCTTGAGATATGTTCAAAATTTGAATCTCCCCCTCTTTTGGTGTTCCCGAACCTCCATCACGACCGTCCATCTACATACAGATCTGACGGTTCATTTTCCCCACTTCTTCTTCTTCCTCCACCCTTTCACCGGCCTCCAACGACCAAGACTTCTACAACGCTCCTCATTTTGGCATAGGAAGGCTGATCGTTCATCGCTTCTCTCACATCTTTTGTAGATTGACTCTCCTCCTCCACATCTTCAAGAATAATGGTTTTGGAATCCTTTGTTTCCCTCCCCGATTTTGATCGATTCCATCTTCTAGCAATCGAGAGGATCTCAGGCCAGATTCTGATCATGAAGAGAACCTTGCCCACTGCAACTTCTACTTTCTCCGATAGATTTTCACCTCCTCGCACCTTCGTCCTGACGACTTGACCCACTCACAGGTAGCTAGCTCTGACGGAGAGTCATGTGTTTCTAGGAATCCCCCACACCTATCTCCGATAGCTTTAATTACACTCGGGCACCAGAGGATTAGGGGAGGCCATAAATCCTTACCTAGATTGGACTGTTATGGACAGAATCCGAATCCGATTTCAGATAGAAATAGCCCGCGCTTGCCCCCCACCAATCGAGTAATAGCTGGTTTCTTCCCAACCGCCACAGTCCATTTCTGAGGATCCAATCGACTTCAACTTTCAACTGGAAAATGAACAGGAAGAGTTTGTCCGCCATTTTCTTTACCGTTACACCTCCCACCTCCCTCCACATTCTTTTCACCCAGTTCTCTACTTCTCTAATCCCTATTCCCCATCAGAATCTCCCCACAAGACAGCCTCTTGGGAACTCTCTTCTATCTTCCACCCCCTGCTGATCTGTGAGAATCACCAGATTGTTGTCCCATTTTTTCAGTTCTGCTGCACCATATTCAAGCCAAGCTCCAGCATCCACCGCTTTTCCATAGGAAAAGTTTTTCCTGGTTCTCACATCAGGCCCTCCCCAACCATACCAATTCTCTGCCTCCCATCTCCTTCCTAAAGGAGTTTTTTCGGGGTAACCTCTTCGAAACATTTGAGTTCTCCCCCTTCCTTCCTACCTCATTGTTACCAGTCCCTATCTTCCCTCAGCCCAGCCGTACCTTGGCCCAAATTAAACTGAACCTAACCATTCCATTTGATCCAAACCAGTTTGTTCAGCCTGGTCCGGCTCTGACCTAAACAGTTCAACCAACCCCAAACCCAATCATGTGGTTTGGTCTGATCCAGTCCAATCCAGATCCACATGGTTTGATCATATACAAGCCAAATTATTTCCTCTTAAATTTTCAATGTAAAAAGYATATRCTTGTGCTGTGATTTGAACCTAGAACACTCATGTGTAAGACAACACTTTTACCAGTAGGCCATGCTTAACAATGTTGTCACAATTGATTTTTAGTTTAAGCATTTTTTATGTGAAGTTATTACAAGGTTAATGGGTTGGGCAGGTTGAGTTGGGTCAAAGTGGGTTTGGGTTGAACCTTTCCCATTTAAATTTGTTTAAATAGCTCATTAATGAGTTGGGTTGAAGCTCAACCCAAACCCAACCTACCCAAACCCATCCAATGCCACCCCTAATGAGAACATATCAAATTCTTGTTGTGAGATGTGTACAACAGTTATGAAAAAAATTGGTAGGAGTTATCATATTCTAGAAGCTTCACTGCACCATATCTTTATGGTTGGCAGTGCTAGATTACTTTATATGGTATGCTTAAGCATGTTGAAGTATCCAGATGTGCTACCTACCTTAACATAGAACCCATGATTTCCAATGTTTCCATGGGCCCTTTTTGATGGGTCATTACTTGGTGTTTTGGTAAAATCTTGGGCTGTCAAGAGTGAGAATGCGGGTTTGAGTTTGGAGCAGCCACTTTGTGCAAAAATGCCAAAGGTTAGGACTGTATCCAGTCCGCCCACTCCCAAGACCCCATATAGCTGGGACCAACATTGGATAATGGCCTTTCATGGGCTACTTTTGATTTATCAATGTTTGGCTCATATCCTTCCATCTCTGTCATCTTCTCTTCTGAGTAAATGGATCCATATGAAACCTTTTTTAAGTTGTATGTTTAAATCAGTCAACTTATCATGAGGGTGAATATTTGAAAGTGTTCAATAATTTGAATTTTATTCATAGTGCAGGGTAACAGAGGAAGAACCACAACCCAACACTACTAACTAGGAAAAAAACACCTGAACTTTATAAGCATTCAAAAATATCATAAATGGTCATCAGGAGACACATCTTTGTGGCATGTTTAGAATCAGATTTTGTTTTCTCATTGTAGTTTTGTGTTCCTCTTTAAGAATTAAATGATCTAGTTAGATGAATTTTGTGTTGGTGCCAATCTGAACTATGCCATATTTTCAAATTTTCTTTTTTGCACTTAGAATTTTTCTTTCATTTGGCAAAATGGAGTGAATTGAATGTTTTCTTGTTGCCAGAAAGTTGCTTCTCTAAAAAGTCGTGTACAGTCAGCAACTATTCCAGCAGCTATGAAAACAGATCTGAGTGCCAAGATTTCCCAACTTCAGGTGAGTGTAGTTGACTCGATAAAGCTTGTTCTTCACAATTGAACCTCTCTTCTCTTTCTAAGGAATCTTTTATGTTGTTCCAGATTCAACTGCTAATTTTAAACCTTGGACTAAAAGAAATTGCTATTTCAATCAGGATCAAGTTAGAAAGGAAATGAAGAAGATAGCACAGGAAAATGTTCAGAAGGCAAAAACAACGGCTGCTGAGATGGCAGATGCTGCTGCTTCAAATGGAGAAAGCTTCTGTGTTTGTCATGTTAATGTTGGTCTAGATGCAGCTGCAGTTCGGGAAGCAGTTATTAGAACTATGGACCAGAAGGTTGTTGTTAACGGCTATCGACTTTCTATTACTTTCTATAAATTATTTGCAAAGAAGGCCATCATTAAAAGTGTTAGGGCTGTTGCAAAAGGCATCTCCTCCTATAGTCCTGTCTTTTCTTGGTTAAGCCCCTGACAAGATTAGAGCATGAGAACTCATCACCTCTCTACCACCTAGGCACCTACAAATATCTGCATGCATGCATGTGCACACACATACACACACAAATACATGCTATGTGGTCAGTCGCATGCCAGAAACAAGTTGCATCCACATTATAGAACCGGTACACCCATAAACTAAACAGATTTCAGTCAACCTCACAATTCAGGTAAACCACAACTTGAATCTGCCAACCTCCACCAAACCAAGTGTAGGTAACATGAACCCCTGTTCCCCCTCTCCCCCTCCCCCCCCAAAAAAAAATAATAATAAATAAATAAATACATGCAGGAAGGCAAAGAAGCCAGATAACTTCCACCTGCCTCCTCAACATATGTGTGCATAGATACTCAGATCCATGTATCGAGAAAAGAAATGAAAAAACCATGCAAGCACATAAGCCAGACATGATTAGCAGGAAATGTAAAGAAGTCAAAGAAAAGCTTTTGTTTGCATCACCTGCATCACCATTCATATTGTGTGCACGTGGACATCAGATCCATGGATCAAGACTAGAGCACAAGGGATTCCTTACCCATCATTGCCAAGAAAGACACTAACACATTATGATCTAGATCTGCTTCCAACTTCCAACTATATGGGGTTGGTATTGATTACATAAACCCTGTTCTGCTGTTCCACTCTGTTCAGTGCCTCAAAAAATATACAAAGACTATACACACGTACACAAAAAAATTAGCAGTATGTGCAAAGATGCCAAAGAAAAACTCTTATTTGCATTGTTGCTCATTTCTAACACCAAAAATATCATGTACTCATGAACTCTCAGATCCATGTATCATGAATAGAGAACTAGGCTGCACTAAAAAAAAATGAATAGAGCATGTGGAATTCCACATCCACCACTGCCAAGGCAGAGATATATACCAACAGAAACACTGACGAGTCAAACAAAACATGCACGGGTATACATTTCATGAGTACACAATCAAATACATGTACACAGACTAATGATAACCTGAATATGCAGTATTATGCACCAAACAGGTATACATCCGTTCACTAATACTATGTGCGTATAGTAGAAGTTCAGGACTGTTATCAGTCTTGAACCCTAATGGATTTCAGGATCGAAAATAAGAAGAAAGGTAAGAGGAAAGAAGAGGAAGA